CCAGTTCTAGTTGCTGTGACAACCGTACGTCTGGTTAGGGAGGCTGAGATTTAACACAGAAGACCACGTCTTCACCTTATTCCCCTTGAGCTAAGGACACACAGTCCTCGCCCAATCACTCTGGTAAGTCTTCAAGGTAGACTTCCAAACCTTCACAGACTTCGTTCACCGGCAATCCACAATGACTCTTGGATGCTCAAAACGTGATGCCTAACCGGCTGGAGGATTCACGGTCCTCAAGTGTAATAAGTCTTCAGATCACGCAGACAGAAAGACTTCAGTGATGCCTAACACTCTTTGGCTCTGGGTGTTTTGGGCTTTGTCCTTGCAAGGATCTCTCTCTCAAATGCTTCATAGGTGGGTTGCTCTCAAACGACAAAAGTCGTTTACTAACTCTGAGCAGCCACCAATTTATGGTGTAGGGATGGGCTACTTATAGCCAGGAGGCAACCCGACCTAATTTGTCCGAAATGACCCTAGGTCACTAAGGAACTGACACGTGTCCAACGGTCAGATTTCAAACACACGCGGCAGCTTGACTTGGGCTACAAGTTAAGCTGACTCATCCAGCTCTGGATAAGATTTGCTCTCATTGTCTTCGCTCGAAGACATAGGATTTAGTTGAGCATCACATCAGTCACTCTGACTTTGTTCACTTGGACCCCACTTAACAGTACGGTGGTTCTTATGACTCAACAAAGAAGAAAAGGAACTACGAAACAACTATGTCTTCACACTCTATAGTCTTCACGTGATGTCTTCTCATGTCATAGTCTTCAATGTGAATATCTTCACAGAACACAATTGTCTTCAATGTCTTCACACATTTTTAGAGATCGTCTCTGATAGGTAAACCGAGTCAATGAGGGACTACTACCTGTGTTATCCTGCAATTCTCACAAACACATTAGTCTCTCAACCAAGTTTGTCGTCAATACTCCAAAACCAACTAGGGATGGCACTAGATGCACTTACAGTAGGGATCCAGGACGGGGGGCTCCGGTAGCGTGATGCAATAATGGGGCGGTACGGGACGGCCCGAATGGTCGAAGCAAGCCCTTTTATAGAAACGTCCGGCGGTGGAACGGTGGCGCAACAGCATCATCAGATTGGTCTGGAGACTTCCGGAGAGAGGGAGATAATCAAGAAGAGAACCATGGACCAAAGAGCACAACCGCTTGACTCTACACAGGATAAAACAAAAAACAAAAATCGCCAAGCGCACACGAAAGCATACCCCGCAAGGTCCCCTAGTAAATAGCGTGTCACCACCTCATTGGTCTGATTACCACTGTAAAAAAACTTAAAAAATTAGATAAAAGAAACCTGGCTAGATTTAGTATATTTAGATGTCCATGTCAATCTGGGATGTCGTCCTAGCCAAAACATTTGACATGCTTTATCTCAGTCTATCTCTATATCTTCTTCTTGTCCAAAATTAGTTCATCCGTACCTACACTATGCAATCTTCTCTATTTCTCCATCCCTTGACCAGAGATGGCTCGACCACAAATGACCTCATACATGGCAAGGTTGCATGCAGCCGGCGATCGACATTAGCATGATTGATTCGGTCGTGTAGCTCCTTAGACCTCTTACATAAAAAGATATCATAAGAGTATTATGCACATAAATGCTTTTGGAGGCCGAGCTTCATGGAGGTCTTCAAATACAAAATTCAAAACTTGTGAAAATTTATATTTTTACATTTCATAAAATTCTAAAAAAATTTACATAGAGAGATGAAGGCATAGTGCATAAGTGTGTAAATTTTTAGGATGAAATACATTGAAATGAGGGTTGTGCAAAAAAGATAAATCTGAGGATTTTTAACACATGATACTATTCATCTTCCTAGACCATGAATTTGTCTTTTTCGTACAGGTGACATTTCAACGTATTTCATCCTAAAATTTTACACAGATACGCCTCACATTCTTGTTTTACTTGTACAAATTTTTTCAGATTTTTTGAAACCAAAATTTTTTAATTTTGAATTTTTCAAAAAATCGGCCTCCATCGAGGCCGAGAGCCAAACATACATTCTCTATTATGCATTGCTATCTAAGTAAAATAATAATATGACGTGGCACTGTAATTAATGATGTGTGTGAGTTACAATAGCACATTGTGATACAATATCTAGCACATGAACCAAGAAAAGTTAATAAAATAAATCTGGGTCATAACTCAAATTGGGACTCTACCAATGAATTAATCACGTAACAGTTTGGGAGGAGTAGTTTATGATATTCCCCACTATGACAGGTCTTAGGTGTACCTAAGCTAGGTTCAGCTACCATACATGGGTAACCATCGATCAAAACTAAGGTTAAAAAAATGTTAACCAAATGCTTTGATAGTTTTGTCAAAAACTGAGAAACACTAAACTTTAAGAAAATAGAGCATGCACTACCCACACATTATAATATCCAGGTTTTCTGAAACTGTGTTGTAAAACTAGACCTAAGTCTAGCCATAGATTAAAGGAGATCAGCTAGCCATGCCTTGAAGATATTAATATATTTCCTCTTGATTCTATAGCTTAGCAAAGTAAAGCCTCCTTTCGTTTAGAGGAATCTTGTAGGAATTTCATAGGATAGGATTTCTATAGGAAAATTTCCTTTAGAGACCTTTGGTTTATGGAATGGAATCCTATTCCTATGGAGAAATTCTTCCTATCCTCCACATTTCATAGGAAAATAAACATTAGCCTAGGCTCAATGAAAAAATTCTATGTTGTAATCAAAGAGCATCTTCTTTCCTATTCCTACTCATAGGATTTGAGATACATGTCATCTCACTTCCTATGATTTTCCTATCCTGTGAACCAAAAGATCCTTTACATAGACGCCTTTCCAATTGCGCAAAGTTGGGTCCACAATTATGAAGATCTTGTTGATTCTTGACATCCATATGACCCAACCAGCAATGATAATAACCTTATTTATCCTATTCTTGGATCAACAAATGCATCCAACACTCAAAGGTTTGTGCCCCTGTTGGGATAGACAAAGTTCCATCACCTTTTAGAGAAGGGCTATCCTAGAAAAGATGATGCCAAATTTCTTTGTGCTAACATTGCAAAATGGCACAATTGTAGTTTTGCAGAACAAAATTATTTCTCAACAGTAAGTTTCTAGCATTGAATCTTTCTTGGAGTAATAACCAAAAAACACCCTAGTGTTTTTGGGCTTTGGGCTGAGAACTTCCCCAAATCCATTTGAAGTGAGGTGGAGCTGATTGAGCACCAATCATCATTTTATAACCCTTGACAATTGAAAATTTAGCATTACCTCGGATGTAGCTCTAGGTGTCATTTGAATTCCTATGATCATAAGAAGTGAGATTTGAACACAAGTCCTCGATTTGCAAGAATTCTTGATGTGCTTTAGTGGTGAGTGGCAAGTGAAAAAGATCCTCAAAAAATCATTACAAAGCATTGTTTCCACATTCAGATTAACATCCTTTGCAAAGGTAATTAAAAAGATGTCGAAACTGAACAAACAAGCAGTAGTATTCCAAATAGCAGTCCAGAAAAGCACACTTTTACCATCACCTAAATTAAATCTGGCCATTGTCTTGATATTTGCCTTTCACCCAAAAGAAAAACCTTGCATATGATTATCACGAAGAGAGCATGTGGTATAGTAGGACTCCTATATGAGTTAACCCAGGGCATGTCGTGCCCATTATAAAATTTGTGCAATTTCCTGGGCGAGCCTTGTTCTGAATGTTAATATTGATCACCTCGGGACCGCCTTGAATTTTTGCCATGCACACTTTGGACCAAGCAACAAGAGCATGTTATTACCATGCATGTCGAGAAAACAAAATCTGTCACCCATGTTGGGTAAAATCATCTTTAGCCACCTACTCAAATCACACACACACACCATCGTATATAGTGGTTGGTGCACATGTGGCTGAAGAGTAGGCCACTAACACTAATATATTTCCTGCTCCACTCTCCTTACTCCCCAAATCGGCAATCCTACCCCATGAGCCCCATTGATCCGATCCTATTCCCTCTAATCCCAGGACAAATATGGTGTTGGCTTGGTTGAAATATGAACCGAGTTTGAGCCAAGACTAGCTCGCTCGATTTTTACCTGATATAGCTAAAACTAACAGGGCAATTATGTTATCTTTGATAGATTCAATGAAATTAGAATAATCAATTACCTTTCTTTTTTGAAATGACTTGGTTGAGCACATGCGGACTCACCATGGCCACCAGTAGATGTATTGATTCATTTTCTTTCGATGTATTTGTGACAATTTAAGTTTGGTTGTAAACTTTGAGATTTTTATAAACTGTTTATTATTGGGGCATGTGATTCATTTGATTGTAAACTATAAACGTGTTTATTTTTAGTTAGACATATGCATGAAAAAATTTATACATTTGGTCCGCTCGGCAGCACTACCCATGCAAAAACAGAAGAGGTCGGAGGGCGCCTCTTTGGCTGACCCAAATAGAATCCAGACAAAACGGGTTCATGGAGTTGGCCTAAGGGGGCACAACATCAAATTCCATACACAAACATTCCATAATGAAGTAACTGCATAGTGGCGAACCTTAATTAAGTCTCCCGATTTTACACATATTATTCAGGAGAAGTTGGCATGTCAAGTTCAACCATATCATACGACGCTAGACAGGTACTGTACTATGGTGGTTGCTGGTACTTCCTTCATTTTAAAATATAGTGCACCCGCAATTTTTAAGGTCCAACTTTGACTATAAATTTAACCAATGAGATTGACTGCGGCGGGAGCAGAAGTTATACCAGTGAATTCGTATTCAAAAGAAGTTTTCAATTATATAATTTTTCCGGTATAATTTTTCCTTCCGCAGCAGTTGATCTCATTGATTAAATTTATGATTGAAGTTGAAGCACAAGAATAGAGAAAACACTATATTTTGAAACAAATGGAGTAGTTTTCATTCAGTAGGCCGAGATAAAAAAACCCATGGAGCCAGCCTAGGCAGGCGGCTACCAGGCAGAGATCCTCATGCCGAGATCCTTCTGCGCGAAGGCGACGAGGTTCTCCACCTCGGCGTCGTCGATGAAGCCGCTGTTGTCCCTGTCGGCGCGGCGGACGGCGCGGCCGGCCCTGAGGGTGGTGAACCAGCCGCCGCGGCGGCGGATGGCCTCGCGGAGCTCGTCCCTGCTGATCCGGCCGTCGCCGTCCGCGTCGAACTGCTTCAGCCACTCCTTGAACTCCGCCACCGTCATCTCCCGCTGCGAAGGTACCCCCCTGATCGCCATGACCGGCCGCGTTAGCAAGCTCGAGACCCTTACAGCTGCAGAGACGGGATGCTATGCTAGCTAAGGTGATGGATGGTGTGAGGGCCTCTCGCGGCTGCGCCTCCTTTTATAGTCGATCCGATCCGCGCAGCATCTCGTGGCTTTGTTCGTCTTCATCTGCAGGCTGCGAGGGGGCGCTGATCTGAATCTTATCAAGTTCTTGGTGGAGGGTGAGCTGAATTTTCAGGCATCGCATCGCTCTTTACACGCAGGGCTAGTCAGCAAGTGCGTGTCACACTCTTTCTCTGACGAATAAGTTTATGTGTATCACGTTGCGATCTTTTTCGAGAGACATATCACATTGGTCGATTCTTACACTTTGTCTGAATTTTCCAATAAAAACCATGCATTGCCTGCATTTTTTCTGATGTTTGGTGTAGCCGCGTAGGTGTGTGGTTATTTCATACTACTGCCAGATTATATTCCTATGCTTGCTTGCAGCAACGAGGCGTGGGAATAAATTCGAAGTGGGGGAAGTGGTAGGGCCTAGATGAAGTAGATTCTCCGTTGAAAGACCAATCCAAAAGGGGAACAAAAAGGAAGGAGATTCTACCAGAAGTTATTCCGTGCTGGCTTGCCAAACCTGCTTAGAGCATGGTTAATAATATAGCCAGCTGCTGGCTATATAGACATGCCATGTCATTAAGAATTAGCACTGTTAGTTACTCATACAATAGAGTTGGCTATAAGGTTGACTATAAGGATGCGTTCGGATCTCACCAGCGTTGGCCCTGCCAACGATTAGCACGCCAAATTTTTGGCGGAGGAATCGGCCGCCAACGCCTCGCCCAAAAATTGGTCACGTATTGAACGTGGATGTCCAATGGACTTGCGGCGCGCCAATAATTTGGAAACCATCCAAACAGACGCTAGCTTCGTAATCAACGACAATATATTGGTTCGGCGGACAGCGGCAGCAATCCAAACACACCCTAAGTCCACAACTTCTTTTCATTTTCTCTCTATCTCTCTCTTCTCATTAAATGCCTTTGCCTAGGAGCACGCGTAGAGGCGGGCTATTGCATGAGAGCCCACTTCTTCATTTTTTCTTTGCTCTCTCCTTCACATAGACAAAAATGCCATGTAAGCAGGCTTATAGCCCACTAGTGTACTTGCTCTTATCTTCTACTCCCTCTGTCCCATAATATAATAGCGTTTTTAACACTACTCCCTCTACTGCCAAACACCTGCTTATATCTAAATAGCTAATCCTCATTAACATATTTCTCTCAACATGCGAGCATGCCATCCCATCATTCAACATTCATGGGAAAGGCCCACCTAAACATGCAAGTATTCATAATAATAATCCACCCCAACATGCAAACATGCATGCATGGAAAATTCCATTCTATTATGCTATTAACATTTAATTCTTACATTCGTTCAAAAACTATCATTTTAAATATTTATGTTTCATATATAATCAAAACCTTATTCCCACAATAACGTGTGGGGCATCATCTAGTTTGATATAGTTCTGCCGTGCTTTTGTTACTGATGCTATAGCTTTGGCACAAGGACATGGTGTTACCAACTTCAGGTCTTCAGAGAAAACATGCTAGGATTAATCATGCCGGCATGGCCTCCCATTTATTCAGAGCTCAACAGTTGGGCTAAGATGTTGAAGGAGGACTACACCCAAACAAAAAGAATTGTAACCCATAAAAAAAAGGCACTGTCCTCGCAAGAGGAGGAAGATAACAGAACAGAACAGGACGTGGAGTTTCTACTCCCAGGAGCAAATGCTCCTGGTGTGAACAGTAAAATCAAATAAATTCAAAAAATCTGAAATTTTTTTGTGCCATACTTTCACAAATGTTTGTTGTGCCTACAAAATTTCATCGCAAAATCACACTGATGGAAGGCGTGGTAAAAAAAACAAAATCGATGCTCTGAAAATGTTACTTACAAAAGCATTTTGAAGCTCTGATTTTGTTTTTTTTTTGGCACGCCTTCCACCAATGTGATTTCGCAATGAAATTTTGCGTGCACATCAAACATTTGTGAAAGTATGTCACAAAAAAAATTCAGAATTTTTTGAACATTTTTTTTAGTTTTTTAATTTTACTATTCATACCAGGAGCATTTGCTCCTGGGTGTAGAAAGGTACTTCCGAACAGAACAGTGCTACATTCGAGCATTTTCCTCACAAAAACTATCCTGAGTTGCCCAAAGAATGATTTTTGTGGAAAAATACCCCCTGGGTTTATACCAACAAATTACAGCTTAAACAGAAACCAACTTACAAGACAAATTGAATAACTTATTACAGCAATGTACAGCTCGTCGATCCGCGCTTTTATGACCTGTTTTCTTATGTTTGTGCCGGGGTATTTCTCGACAAAAATGAGCCCATTCGAGGGAGAAACGACTTTTTCTTTCGCAACTTTCGGTTCGGAACATGGTCCTCGTAGCTACTGCCTGACATGTGCAGCCGTGAATCCTGCTCTTTCAGGTAAGGATCGACAAATGGGCTACTCACGGGGTTAACCGCACGCTTCGCGGCCTCCTGAATTTTCCGGCGCTGCTCATGGTCAGACCTCCATTTCCTCAGTTGCTGCTCAGCGGCGAGTTTCCCCTCGTTTGCCCTCTCGGCTCTCTCCAATGCAAGTTCAAGAGTTCTCTTCTTTTCATCCATCTCCTTTGTTGCTTCAGTTAGCCTGTCTAGGCTCTCTAATTCAGAGCCTTTCACGGACTCTACCTGTGCCAGCGCTTCTGTCACCTTCTCATTTGCCAGTTCTTCAGCGTCTTGTGCTTTCTTGCTAAGGGCGTAATACTCGCTTATAGGAAGCGTCACTCCTCTGGGAGAATCCTCGACGTCGCTGGCCTCTTTGCTTTCATTCAATGCTCGAACTGCCGCAAGTGCTAGCCTCTCGGACGCTTTGGATGCTTCTATTTCCTTCAGAACAGCACATAACCTGCTGCTTGTTGTAGTTGCAGCTGCTTTGGTTTGCTCAGTATCTTCCTTGGCTTTTCTCAGCTCCTCTTCTGCTGCTTGAGCTGCGTCCTTGGCATCCTCGGCCTCCTGAGCTGCTTGCTGCAACATCTTAGGGAGCTCCACCATTTTCTCTTGGGCATCTTCTTCCTTGGATCTCACAGATTCTATCTCTTTTTGAGTCCTGTTGAGCTCAGCTTCTAGTGAAGAAACTGCAATTGATGCCATCACTTCCCTCTGCTGCAATGAGTCAAGTGAAGCTTTCTCCCTGTCGAGCTCTGATCTGAGAGTTGTCGCCGCAACTCTTAACAATTTGGCCTCAGTTTTTGTATTTTCTATGTTTGCTTTAACCTCCTCGAGCTCTTTCTGTGTTGAAGCTAGAGTTTCCTTAATTGAGCTGCTAATTTGTCTAGCATCTTCAGACTCATGCTCCTTGGCAACTCCTAAAGCTTCTTTGCACAGTATACTCTCCACATAGTCTGCAAGCTCAGACTTGAGGCCATGCAACTTGCGCAAATTTGCTTCAAGATTCCTCTTCAAATCATTTTGGGACAGAAGCTTATTGTTCAGTTGTTGCACCTCCTCTTGTGCCTGGACCAACTCTCTATCCCAAGCAAGGCAATCTTGCTCTTTCGCCAGTACTGCGCCGATTCTACGTTCTTCAGCATCATGATGTGCAGCATGGGCCAACTCAAGAGATCCTTTAGCTGCAATCAGTTCTACAGTCAGCCCCTCCACTCGCTTCTCGATATCTTTCCCGGCGGCTAACACTTCTTCAGCCCTTTTGATTGCTCTGTCCCTTTCATTGACTAAGCTAGCATACTCTTCGTGTAATGTTCTCAGCTCCTCCTTTACTGATTTAAGTTCGGCAACAGATTTTTCGTGTCTTTCTTTTGCGACTTCCATTTGAGTCTTGGCTATTACACTAGAATCGTCAGCTACTCCCCGCTCAATTTCTTGCACCCTCAGTTGTGCAAGCTCAGAGTCCTGTTTTGCTTGAACTTCTTCCATCTGTGCTTTCTCCAGTTCATGCTTCAGCTCTTCTACAATTCTCTTAGTAGTCTCTAGTTCATCAAGTACCTGTGATTTAGCCATCTCTGCAGCTTCTAGTTCTTCTTTGCATTTTGGAATTTCTTTCTGAGCATTTTCAAGTTCAAGCTGTATGAACTTGCGTCTCTGCATAAAAAGGAAATTCCTTTAGAGTACTCTACATGATTAAAATTCAGCTATGTACTCTAAACTATGATAATCATGTAGTTGTGTACTTACATTATCTGATACTCCATAATGCAAATTCAGTTATGTACTCTAATCCTTGTGGAGTATCAGATAATGTATGAGCATATGTATGGCTAAGACTTGACAAGAATTACCTCCATCATCTGAACTTTGTGAGCTTTCCAATCAACGATTCCTCCAAACTTGGTAACAGCTTCTCTCACAGACTCAAAAGGCGCAGCAGTGTCAATAAGACCTTTATATGGACTTTCAGGTTTTGCTTCTGACTCTTCCATCACTTTTGGTTTTACAGCAATTTTTCTCTGAAAACGTGCCTTGTCTTCAACATGGTTCACTTCGACGGGATGTACTGAAGAAGAATGATCTGCCTGACCCTTCACCGAGTGTTTGGATTTCTCAGTTGGTACTGAATTTGAGAGCATTTCAGGACCTGCCCCTGTGGGGGAATTTGATTCCACGTCATGCTCTGCTACATCAGGATGAGACTCTGCCAATACTTCTGAGTGTGAAGATAACTCCGAATCATCGGCAGCAACTGGAAGGCCATTAGAGATACCCGATGTGGCTGCTTGAGCTGACTTTTCCATGTTTGCATTGATATTTTCGTGAACACCATTGCTACTGACTTCCAGAGTTGGTGAGTCCACACAAGTTTCTGGGATTTCTACCGGAGATGACTCTTTTGAGTTATTTTCTTCAGATGCATGAGTCGACTCCATTCCTTAGACCTCCGCAATGTTCGCTCCTAAAAATTGTGTAATGAAAGTGACGTTATGAGACCGAA